AGACAAACAGTATCACTTAACAAGACATGAACAGTGCTAAGTAGCAGCAGATATAAACAGCGTATATATATATATATATATATATATATATATATATATATATATATATATATATATATATATATATATATATATAAACTCTTGAAGTTATCTTGGAATGCTTTCGGTGCATGCCAAGGAAGAGGTCGGGAAGGAAGGGGTCGGGAAGGAAGGGGTCGGGAAGGAAGGGGTCGGGAAGGAAGGGGTCGGGAAGGAAGGGGCCGGGAAGGAAGGGGCCGGGAAGGAAGGGGTCGGGTCGGAAGAGACGGGAAGATATTCTAAGTATGGGACAGTCACGTAATTATCAAGGCAAAGCACTATTATAAGCCATTACGACTATATAATAGTTAATAATAATAATTCAGTGTGTCGGGGGACAGGTAGCCAGAGTGTATTCATACACGTTAGGCTTACATGGAGGTCTCCCCACCAAGACTGCAATCTTTTGTTAAATTATCTTCATGTCTCCTGCAAATTGTCTATACAGTATACCTAAGTCATAAAAGTATTTGTGTGTACGTCTGATACCATACTACTTGTGTAAAGGATTGTTGTTGTTTAAGATTCAGCTACGGGGAACTAAAAGTTCCAAGTAGCACGGGATATGGTGAGCCCGCGATGGACTTACCTGGCACAGGAGCGGGGCTGAAACTTTGGTGTAAAGGAGGAAATGTATATGTTTATCTCTCAGAATGTTCGGCAATATGTTTATTGTTTGTGATGTGTGTCTATATATGTATGAACACGTTGTACTGAACGGGGTGAGAATAGCTTGAGCTACCTCATCCCTTTGTGTGTATTTTACCTCAATAAACTGATTTCAATTTCGAGGTCTCCCCCCCCCCCACCCACCTACCCAAAAGGTCGAATTACTGACCCCGTTCAGGATGCAACCACCCCCCCCCCCCCCCGCCCCAGCAAGCTCACTAACTAGGTGAACAGAGGCATTAGGTTATGGGGAAATGCGCCCAACCATTTCTGTCCCGCCCGGGAATCGACCCCGAAGTACTTGATTCAGCTCGTCCTCTAAACAAATACCTAAAGTCCATTCCATGAACCCGCCAAACCCCCTGTTTATAAATGAAAAGCGGTTTACACACGACTCACAACTGCTGACGTCCGAACACTTCCGGAACAAGTGCTTCTCTCACGTCCTCTGTTCGAACCACAATTCTATAAATGCTTCACCCACGTACTCCAAATACAAATAATCGCCAACAGAACCTAAACACCTAACCTAACCTACTCCTAACTATACGGAGAATTCTAATGTATAATAACATTAATTTATATATGAGAACAAACCCATTTTTTAATACACTATGTTAAAATTGATGAATGCGTCTAGGGAGGGCGGCCGCTGCTTTAACCAGCCTAGTGTGAGGACGGATTGACTACAGAGACCATCAGTAGTTGCTTGGAAGGGTTATATATTTTAGACAAGAACTTGGGATAGGACGGAAGTATGTTAAGTTGCATTAATTAATTATAACAGCAATTATACAAAATTAATAAGAACATGTATATAGTGGTAAATTAATAGGTACAGAAATTATATATAAAGCAGATACTACGCAAAGCGTTCATCAAGTTACAGCCCCGCTCCTGGGCCAGGCAAGTCCACTACGGGCTCACCATAGCCCGTGCTACTTGCCCCGCTCCTGTGCCAGGTAAGTCCACTACGGGCTCACCATAGCCCGTGCTACTTGCCCCGCTCCTGTGCCAGGCAAGTCCACTACGGGCTCACCATAGCCCGTGCTACTTGCCCCGCTCCTGTGCCAGGCAAGTCCACTACGGGCTCACCATAGCCCGTGCTACTTGCCCCGCTCCTGTGCCAGGCAAGTCCACTACGGGCTCACCATAGCCCGTGCTACTTGCCCCGCTCCTGTGCCAGGCAAGTCCACTACGGGCTCACCATAGCCCGTGCTACTTGCCCCGCTCCTGTGCCAGGCAAGTCCACTACGGGCTCACCATAGCCCGTGCTACTTGCCCCGCTCCTGTGCCAGGCAAGTCCACTACGGGCTCACCATAGCCCGTGCTACTTGCCCCGCTCCTGTGCCAGGCAAGTCCACTACGGGCTCACCATAGCCCGTGCTACTTGGAACTTTTTGTTCCAAGTAGCTGAATCTTAAACAACAACAACAACAAAGCGTTTCGGACATTAGGGGGTCATTATTTAACAGAATACAACAAATTCACAAGGGCCGTGACGAGGATTCGAACCTGCGTCCAAAGGTTTAACAGGATAGTCTTAAAACAAAAGAAGAGCAGTCAAGAGTGAAGAGCTGTTCCGGCTGGAGTGCCCCAAGGCCCCGTCCTGGCACCTCTATTGTTAACACAAACATGTAAATGATTTCCACACGGGATCAAACCGCCGCGTTAGAGAATTTCCAGAAAACACAAGAGCCATACGTCGGGAAATTATTTCACAAGATATGAAAAAAACATGTTAAGACGTGGGATCGCTTCATTGTTTCGAGCGTAGGTTAGACACACGCATATATGTATACGAGCTTGGGTGGACATATATATATAGTAGCTGCCTCGTACGGCCCTATAAGTTTTCTGCAACTGGCTTGCTTGATTTTGATGTACAGTACTTAAGTTGTCTAGGACGACTCTGATAGACTTACAAGGCAAAACAAAAAAAATGACAAATGCAGTTTAACACTCACAAATAAATCTCATAGCCTCGGAAATAACAATAAAATTGCCACATATATCATCTAAACAACGATGAAACTACCAATTCTGTATGTGAAAGGGTCTGGTTACCTCTGTGGTGATTCCGCGAGGCCGGGGCCCAGAGACCAAGCCCAACTCTGACCTCATTAACAGGGATCCAAGTGTTCGAAATAACAGCAAACAGAATACTGACAAGTCAAATCTAGAAGAATTAGTATTACGACAGCCAATGCCAAAAAATACCAATGCATAAATGAACAAATAATGCATTAATGCATAATGCAAATGCATTTATGTCCAATGCATAAATGTATGGAATGAAGTACATCGGGTATTGGGATTCAAATCTAGAAGCGTTACCAATAAGATACTAGGATACTAGGGATACTAAGATACTGAGGATAGTATCCTTAGATACTAATCCCCTTTACTAAGGATACTATCTATAATAATAAGGATAATAGATAAGGATATTAAGCAGGATACTAAGATATTAGCAATAAGATACTATATTAGGCCCTATTTAGGTTATGCAGTTCAGTTTTGGTCGCCGTACTATAGAATGGATATAAATTCACTTGAACGTGTCCAGCGTAGGATGAGCCAATAGGCCTCCTGCAGTTGCCTTTGTTCTTGTGTTCTTATACACAATTCTATTTTTCCTGGACCATTCAGTCTTCATTTGGCCTATGTTAGGCTACATTTAGATTACTCCGTGCAATATTTGGTCTCCGAACTATAGAATAGTTCTAGAATATGGAACATATTCTAGAATATATTCCATATCTAGAATATGGAATATAGTTCACTTGAATATGTATCGAGAAGAATGACAAAGTTAACCCAAGGCGCAGGCGATGAGTCACAATAACGTGGCTGAAGTATCGACTTGAGAATGGTCCAGGACGGACCGAAACGTCGTCGTCCCTTCAATTTCTAGTGTGTAGTCTGGTCAAGTTAACCCAAGGCATTAAATACCTTCCACGTGAAGAAAGATTTAAAAAACTTAATTTATATTCCGTAGAAAGACGAAGAGTATGGAGTGACATGATAAATATATAAATGGGTATAACAAAAAGGGGGGTATAAATAACCTAATAAATAATATATATTAACACAAAATAGAACACGAAACATTGAACATAACTAGGATAAGTTTTGATTCGGGGAAAGACCTGGGTAAATACGGGATTGAAAGTAAGAATTGCTTGAAGGAATGCCGATTTATGGAAAAAAAATCCTAGGCGATGAAACAGAGTGTAGGATCGCTATAGATTGTTTCAAGCGTGGGTTAGACCATTCAGTGTGGCTGTGGCTGGAGGAAAGAAGCTGATTGGTTGATTGATGAAGATTAAGCCACCCCCAAGAGGTGGCACGGGCATGAATAGCCCGTAATGAAACAAGCTGCTTACATGGATTAATGGGCCTGTAGTTTTCTCTATTCTTACTCGCCCCCCTTCCCCCTTTGTTCTTAGTGAGAGAATATAGAGAAGGGTCGTACTACGAATGTAAAGGTTTTTTAAAATGTTGGAGTGAAAGGTAAAACGTTCAAATGTTCATACATTCCCCCGTGAAGCGACTGACAGCCAGTACAGGATATGATGGCGTGTGAAAGCATTACGGGTGTAGTGTAGAAATGCAGCATGTAGAAGAGATGTGTATGTGTGTGTACTTACCATTTGTGCTTGCGGGGGTTGAGCTCTGGCTCTTTGATCCCACCTCTCAACTGTCAATCAACTGGTGTACAGGGTCCTGAGGCTCTATCATATCTACACTTGAAACTATGAAACTTGAAACTGAGTGTGTGTGTGTGTGTGTGTGTGTGTGTGTGTAGCAAGTGTTACCAGGGCGAGTGAATTAAGTGTGGCAGGCGAGTGAGGAGGCAGGAGTGTGGCCGAGGCTGCCGCATCCGTTGTCTCACTCTCTCTCCGTTACCATCCACACCCAAGTGATATCAACCAGCATATATAAATATATATACGAGCTGGCATGCGTTACTACCACCGATATTTACATTCAAGTCTTGTTCGCCGAGTCTGAGTTATCCAATTAAAACATGCTTATGTGTTGGATATTAATTACAAAATCATACAATGGGCTTTCCCGTCTTAACTGTACTTAACGTGGAGTTTACAAAATTACGAAAACATATCAAAAAAAGCTCATTTGATAGGTTTTTAAGTCGAGTACTAAAGATACATGTTTACAGAAATTTATAATTTTCGCTTTATATAACTTTGACACCACAACACGTGGCTAGAAGACAAGACACTCACCTTTAAGACGTCGGAGCTCGTGGCACAGTATCTCTTAAGAGTGTGAGGGGAGGGAGGGGGGAGCGGAGCTACCGTACACACCACCTTCTCACTACGGAGGTCGAACCCAGACTGATCGGCACCACGCTGCTCGGCCACGCACTATGACGTCACTTCTCACTGATACCAACCAGCTTCCGCGATAAGCAAGACGGAAAGAGATGAGAGTAGCAGGGAGAGGAGGGGAGGGATGTGGGAGAGAGGGAGGGAGGGATAGATGGGACAGGGAGGGGCAGGAGGGAACAGAAAACTAAACGCAAGGTATCAAGTGATAAGGGACAATCGTGTGGGAAAGATTGAGGTACTGTTTTGAAGGGGGGAGCGGAATCTTAGTTTCGTTGTATTGTGTAATTCCGATGAGCGGCATTGGTTAGCGCTGAGGTTACCAGGTACTGTGGCGGGCCCAAGTGATGCGTTCTTGATAGTTTGTAACGATGAAGGACAGTTTATCGAGCGTGTCGCCGTGGTAACCATCTCTAGTTGGAACATGTGTAGTAACCGGAGGTGCTGGTTAAGGCGAATATTGAACCCCAACGAGCGTTTGGGAGAAGTCTACGAGTCAGTTCCTGAATTTCTCAGCCCGTCCTCATGAACAAAGGCCAAAGTCCATTCCATGCACACGCCAAACCCCCTGTTTATGAATGAAAAACGGTTTACACAGGACTCAGCTGATGTCGTCCGAACCCTTCCGGAACAGGTGCTTCACTGACGAATATTGTTCGAATCGCAACGCTGTAAATGCTTCAGCTCGTCCTCCAAACAAAGACCCAAAAGTGATTCCATCCACCCGCCAAACCCCCTGTTTATGAATGAAAAACGGTTTATACACGACTCACAACTGTTGACGTTCAAACACTTTCGGAACGAATTGACGAATTTTGTTCGAACCGCAACGCTGTAAATGCTTGACCCACGTACTACAAATACAAATAATCGCCAACAGAACCTGATGAACCTAACCTAACCTCTGCCTATATATGCACAATATGCTAATATATTATAATCTTAATTTATACTTGAGATAATTCCTATTTTGAATGAACAGTGTGTTAAAATTGATGGATGCGTCTGTGGGGTCGACCGCTGGATGGAATGGACTTGTTCTGAGGACGGGTTAAAATTTTCAGAACGGTTGGCATCTTTAATGAGTGCAGGACAACCCATGAGTAGCGGAGGTTGGTGTCTCCAAGGCGTTGGGTTTAATCCACGTTGTGTGGTAGTTATGTACTCACCTAGTTGTGTTTGCGGGGGTTGAGCTCTGGCTTTTTGGTCCCGCCTCTCAACCGTCAATCAACAGGTATACAGATTTCTGAGTCTATTGGGCTCTATCATATCTACACTTGAAACTGTGTATGGAGTCAGCCTCCACCACATCACTTCCTAATGCATTCCATTTGTCAACCACTCTGACACTAAAAAAGTTCATTCTAATATCTCTGTGGCTCATTTGGGCACATATGTGTGTGTGTGTGTGTGTGTGTACTCACCTAGTTGTACTCACCTAGTTGTGTTTGCGGGGGTTGAGCTCTGGCTCTTTGGTCCCGCCTCTCAACCGTCAATCAACAGGTGTACAGATTCATGAGCCTATCGGGCTCTGTCATATCTACACTTGAAACTGTGTATGGAGTCAGCCTCCACCACATCACTTCCTAATGCATTCCATTTGTCAACCACTCTGACACTAAAAAAGTTCTTTCTAATATCTCTGTGGCTCATTTGGGCACTCAGTTTCCACCTGTGTCCCCTTGTGCGTGTTCCCCTTGTGTTAAATAGACTGTCTTTATCTACCCTATCAATCCCCTTCAGAATCTTGAATGTGGTGATCATGTCCCCCCTAACTCTTCTGTCTTCCAGCGAAGTGAGGTTTAATTCCCGTAGTCTCTCCTCGTAGCTCATACCTCTCAGCTCGGGTACTAGTCTGGTGGCAAACCTTTGAACCTTTTCCAGTTTAGTCTTATCCTTGACTAGATATGGACTCCATGCTGGGGCTGCATACTCCAGGATTGGCCTGACATATGTGGTATACAAAGTTCTGAATGATTCTTTACACAAGTTTCTGAATGCCGTTCGTATGTTGGCCAGCCTGGCATATGCCGCTGATGTTATCCGCTTGATATGTGCTGCAGGAGACAGGTCTGGCGTGATATCAACCCCCAAGTCTTTTTCCTTCTCTGACTCCTGAAGAATTTCCTCTCCCAGATGATACCTTGTATCTGGCCTCCTGCTCCCTACACCTATCTTCATTACATTACATTTGGTTGGGTTAAACTCTAACAACCATTTGTTCGACCATTCCTTCAGCTTGTCTAGGTCTTCTTGAAGCCTCAAACAGTCCTCTTCTGTTTTAATCCTTCTCATAATTTTAGCATCGTCCGCAAACATTGAGAGAAATGAATCGATACCCTCCGGGAGGTCATTTACATATATCAGAAACAATATACAGTGTGTGTGTGTGTGTGTGTGTGTGTGTGTGTGTGTGTGTGTGTGTGTGTGTGTGTGTGTGTGTGTGTGTGTGTGTGATTATCTTGTGCGAAATGTGGTCGTCAGAAGCACGACGACCTCACCAAAGCACTCTCACCCTGTGAGTGCCTCAACACACACTCAGGGTACACCCCGCCCCTGCTCCATCCTGTACACGAGGACTCCCGCTTGAGTGACAGTTGCAGCCCCACCGCTCCTGTGCCAGGTAAAACCACTACGGGCTCACCATAGCCCGTGCTACTTGGAACTTGTTGTTCCCAGTACCTGAATCTAAATCAACAATAAGCTTGAGTGAGTTACTAAGTCACTGGGTCATTGCGTAATTCACAGAGCCCATTAACTCGGTAATGGCTTGTAGAGTTGTTGATCACGGCTTCAGTAACTAAAATGTTTATAAATTTAAGCACACACATTATATATATATATATATATATATATATATATATATATATATATATATATATATATATATATATATATATATATATATATATATAAATGCTATGCGTGTATATATATATATAGCATAGTTTCGGGCAGGTCCTTAATCCTAATTTTCCCTGGAATACGACCCGCCAAATCGTTCAACAAGGTACCCATTCACTGCTGGGTGAACAGAGGGACTACAGTTTCGGATCCTCCGTTAAATTCTTACCCGGCCAGGATACGAACCTTAGCTAAATCGCTTGCAAAGCGCCGGGCGAGTGTCTTACCACTGCACCACGGGGGGACTGCATTATGTACACTACATACATATGTAGTGTACATAGTTACAATTTAACAGCCAAGGTTTAACATACAAGAGATTCAACAGACAAGGTTTAACTGGCATGATGCTAGTGACGGGGGGGGGAGGGGTCATAGTACACCCTTGTCACTTGCAGGTCGCTGATCAGGTCACTCTGGTCATGTGACCTTGACCTTTCCCATAAATAGATTGATGAAGATTACGCCACCCAAGAGGTGGCACGGGCATGAATAGCCCGTAACCCATGAATTGGAAATAACTCCAATTTATATCAGCTCAAATTCATTAACATGTATGTCTCTCCAACCAGGTAATTTGTTCCATAAATCAACAATTCCCTTTTTCGAAACCAGTTTATACACAAAGTCTTTCATGATATTACACTTAGCCAGTTTACATCCATTGTCTCTTAGTTTTATCTTGTGTTGAGATATCAAACACCTTATTTATATCCCCTTTGTTATTATACTCCATTGATATACTTCAGTCGTGTCACCCTTTACTTTTCGTCTTGCTACAGAACATAGATTTAGCTTTATTAATCTCTTTATAAAAGGTTCCCAAAGCCTGGGATTAACTTTGTCATCTCTCTGTACGCGCTCAAGTGAATTTGTGTGTCCATGCCTCAGCTCGGAGACCAAAACTCAACTCTCTAATAAGAAAGTCCTTTAAAAGGGCTGAAAATCAAACGTGTCTCGAGAAGAAATATTTAGGGTGATCATTCCACATGGTGTTAATGCAATGGACAAAAATAAGAGCCACCGATGCTTTCAATTCTTGGATTTGCGCTGAACACATTAAGCAGGCGAAGTTGACGGGTGTTCATGTTTTAAGACGGGGTGAACATCTCTCAAGTCATGGGAGTAGAGGGCGAAGAGAGAAAGAAAAGAAAGAATCGACTTGAGAATGGTCCAGGACGGACCGAAACGTCGTCGTCCCTTCTCCTTCTAGTGTGTGGTCTGGTCAACAAAAGAAAAGAAACCTTGTGACTGGAGGCTATATTGACTCCAGCTTTGAAGTGAGGTCAGGTAACATGACCTGACTTCATAGGCTAACAGCTTTCCTCTGTATTGCAAGAATACTTTTCTTAGAAGGGGAGCTGCCCGGCACGTGAGAGCTACACACGTAAGAACATTATTCAACAAATTCACAAGGGCCGTGAAGAACAGTATTCTAAAAAAGGCAAATGACACTACACTGAAGTAACTGAGTAATGAAATACCTTTAGAACCAGAAGAGCCTAGTCAATTTTATTATAGTTGAGGAGCCTATTCTGGTCATGAATATCCAGGATTTGGTGCGAACTAGAAATGTCCATTTAATAAACAATTTCCGTGTTAATGAAGTGTTCAGTTCAATTTGTTATCACAAAACCAATTTCAATAAACGAATATTTTTTTCCCGAAACTCGTTGAAAGCCTAGTACTTAAATTAGAACATTACATGAACAAAGCGTTAACAAAGTCTGGGAAAATTTTATCACATAAAAATTATCAGAAGGTTTGATGTACTTTCTGATAATTTCTGATGGGAATAAAGAAATTAACAGAGGTACATATGCACAAATGCATATGTACCTAAATGTGTTGAATAAAACAAAAATTGGGCAGCCTAATAAATTCGTCATATGTCGAAACAGAAAACGTGTACTTAAAACTTAGCGAGGTCCCTTCAAGTGCAAGTATATTTACTGAGACAAGAAAGAAATACATCTCAAAGGGATAGAGTTAGGCAATTTCTACCCCCCCCCCCTTCCTCACGAGATCCCTCCTATAACTGACCTTCTTGAGATGATTTGATTTTCTTGAGATGATTTCGGGGCTTTTAGTGTCCCCGCGGCCCGGTCCTCGACCAGGCCTCCACACAGACCTTCCCTATGATAGTTGATTAACTCCCAGGTACCTATTGCACTGCTAGAGTAACAGTGGCGCCTGGCGAAAGGAAACGTGCCCAACTGTTTCTCTCCTGTCTTGGGATTGAACCCGGGGTCCCTCGGTTGCCAGCAGAGGACATACAGCATGGTGCCATTGAACCCTTTTTGACTACGAAATTGTTGAGGAGGAAACCCCCACAGAACTTACTTGAACTGTTTAATGTAATCGAAGATTAAACAATAATAATAAATATTATTAGTGTTATTATTGTTAATAATAATAATAATAATAATAATAATAATAATAATAATAATAATAA